GGGGGGGTTGTTAAATGAGATGACTTTGTCTTACCCCCGGGTCGTACCTCCCAAAAGATAAGCTTAAACCGAAATGCAGCTTCATGGTATATTGCGGTACATAATGTGGACTTGTGGCGTTTATAAACAATGTGGAATCAAGCTAAAATAATACGTTGCTTCTTGTTTAAAGCTCAAGCTTATGTTTCTCAGTCTCGCCAGATTGCAGACGCTTGACCCAGTTGAGGGCTTCATCGTTTATCATGACTGCACTGGATAAATGAGAAAACAACTTACTCCGTCCCTCCCATGAATGCTTCATATGTTGATTGATCCACAGCCTACAGAAAGTGGAAGAATATTTAAGGAAAGGTAAAAAGAAATGACATATAGTTTCGACAACGAAGTTCAACTCACCGCCATGTTGATTACTATCCCATGGGGCAATGGGGCAACAAAAAAACCAGCTGCTCATGCGCAGTCTAAAAAAGCGCGAAAAAACAAAAATGGCGGACGAGGGAAGGGTTTCCGTAAACAGCAAACAAACGGTGCTGGTAATTCATGAAAAACTGAAAAAGGAGGTGCATCAGATAGCTGAGAAGAAGTCTTGGACTGTAAAACAGAAGGATGAATTCGAGAAGAAGCTCCTTGAGGTAGGGCGATCATTATGTTTTCCTAACAGACGAGAGTTGATCAATTTTATGAGTTTTGCAGAGCAAATAGATAAGCCTACATTGTACTTAACTTAACCGTAACTCTGATCGGATTTCTTGATCATGTTTGGTAAAGCTTTACAAAGAATCTGTCGAGGACAGGATCAAGGAAAACATAACTATCGGAGGACAAGGATGGGACAGCCCAAGCAGAGCAGAAGTTTCAAGCAGTTCGGCAGTTCAGGAAGGTAAATGCAAGCTTAATATAAATCTTACCAAGAAAAGCAAAAGATTGTTCAATGCTCTGGGGGTTGTTCTACACGGGAAGGTGCGAGGGAAGCTACGTTTTGAACAGGGTCGGCCAGGGGGTAGTGGTATACTAATTTACCTGAAAAGAAGAGTTTGTAATTTATACCCAAACTTTCCCCTCAAATTCATGCCAAATGCCAAACTTTGGAAAAACGAGGTATACTTTGTTCCCATAAAAGTACCAATTTTGGCGGCAAAATACCATATACTTAATTTAAAATCACCCTGTATACCGTATACCCAAAAGTACTGGCTGACCCTGATTGAAACAGGAAAAATGCACACGTCAATTCAACTTTTACAAACACAAAAATGATAAATAAAATATCAACAAGTGATTTTAATTTCCATTGCACCTCGAGCTAGAATTCCAGTACAAGTGCGAAGAGTACATGTACTTAAGGGTGACAGGTGGGAGGAATCAGGGGGAGAGGGAGGGGAAAACATTCTCTACCACCCCAGGTGGCATGGCGAAGGATTGTGAGTTCACAATGGTAACTTGTACTCCTTAATATTGCATAAGTCTCCCCTTGGTTTTTCTCTCACTTGCCTGTTTTTCTTCTTACTCCAAACCTACCGAGAGCCTGGAACAGTAGGATCAGTAAGTCCTTGGGGATAGTATTCGAAATCAAAATTGTGCATATTATTTTGCCAATATTTTAATCAACAATTTTCAGAGATGGAACCTTTAAACAGAGACAGACTTGCACAAGTTCTTGCAATATGTTCTGATTTGGAAGATTTGATCAGAGGTACTGCAGGGAAACGTAAAAAGTATCCTCAGCAAATCGAAGAAGTGCTAAATAGAATACTTCAGCGTCGTAGGGAGATACTGGTAAGTTGATAGTGGCTAATTAAAAATAGGGTTTTGTATACAGTTTGTCAGTTGTTGATTAACTGGCCCTTGTTGAGAGGCTATGTTGGCAGTTTGGACGAGTTTTAGTAGCTGTTGCCGCTGTGGAGAGGTGGCCGTTGTAGAGAGGGTAAAATAAGAGTGAAATTATGGACTGTCCGCTGGGACCAGAAAAAGTGGGCGTTGTGGAGAGGTGGCCATTAGTGGAGGTTTGACTGTACTAATTATTAGTACAGTCATTTATTGTACTCAGGTTGGTTCCACAAAGAACGTTGTAATAAACAATCCAAGAACAATAATTGGCAAAAATTCAGTAACAGTTGATGCTCAACTTTCCTTCTCAGGTTTGCTGTGCTTGTGTTTAAGGTCATTTTTCAAAGATTTGGCTAAAGCATTGCATTCTAACTTGTAATAATGTGCTTTTTGTACAGGAAAAATATCAGCCCACAGTAAAAAGTGATTCATCTTTGAGTGGTTGCAATGTTATTACTCCGGGTGAGGTGGTATACATTTTTCAAGCATACTGAACTGTATAATATTACAGATAGGTATCTGAGTTTATTTTTTATATTAATTATTTTACACTTTGTAGAACAAGAAAGAAGGCAAGGGAGGCTGTTATTAAAGTGCCCGTAACATGAAAATTTTTAGTTTCCCATCTGATCCTATATTTCACGCAATGAACTTCTGCAAAAAAATTTTTCGATTTGGATATAACGAGATTTTTCTAAATGAATTTTTAAAAACCTGAAAATCCTATTTTCTTGCGGTCGACCTGCGCCGCTGATCACTAGATTGACCTGCTCATAATTGGCCACATGACTGAATCTTGTGACGTAGGTTCAGGAAGCTTGCACTTTGCCTCAAGTGCACAAAAATACATTTTAGGAGTGACTATACAGAATTGTGTGTCATGGATGAAGAGTTATCTGGTACAGAAAGTGATAACACTGTGGAATACAGTCAAGATGAATTTGAAAATGTAGTGGACGCTGCAGAAGGCAAAGCATTTTACTGACAAAGCAGCTTACTGCATTGTTGCTTGTAGAAGGGCCGGAGTTAGCAGATTGTGAGGCTGTTGTTTCAGATTCTTCGTGTGCAGAAAGATCCCTTAGTCTAGCCTTCATGCCTCATGATCTATGACCATAAACCAAAACAGCGGCGCGATATGTACTCAATAATACCTTCATTCAATTCAATTTTTTATTTACACTATAAACATAAATTAAACATAATTCTTACAGAAGAATTACAAAAGAATAAATAAATTAAAATAAAAAATAATTAAAATAAGAATTTATAGCAGAGTGATGCAAATACCTCGAGTATGTGTTGCGGGGGATATGATAAGAATTCTTACCATTTGCTGATCTCTACTCTTCTTGGTGGTTCTTGGTCACAAACTTCATAGCTAATATGCTTTGAAGGGAAGACACAAATGCTTACTTCATCTCTTTTTCACCCTCTACATATTTACCCCTGCTCAACTCAGCCTTGTGAGGTCATCATTTGTGAAATGCGTTGAACAGATCGACAAGATTTTTCCCAGTACCCAGTTTTTCCTTCTTTCAAAGATGAAGTTAACCACCACTTTCGCCTCCTCAGTTTATTGGGTCATGTTTCGCCAAAAAACAGAGTGCGATGAAGACTGATGTTGTTTTCTGAATCATTGATGTTGCTACAAAGAGCAGCAACACACCTTTCTGGCATTTTGTATGGACTATGAAGCTAAATTTACAGAGGTAAAACAAACTAGATAAGTCAAGTCTGAATTCACATGTTCCTGAATCTACATCACAGCTCATTCCAAACCAAGGGAAGACTGGTGTGAATGGTGGACCAAAATGGTAGCAAATTTGAACATTTTCAAAAACTTATAAAAATTTGCATTTTATCCAAATCAAAAACTTTTTTTGCAGAAGTTCACTGGGTGATATATAGAATCAGATGAGAAAATAAAAATTTTGTTGTTATGGGCACTTAAAATCCTCTAAGGCCTGCTGACTCTACCACTTGGACAATCAATGATAGCTGTTTGTGTTTTTTGATGTGCTATTGTTTGATCTGAATTTGTTGTAGATTTTGAGGAGTGCATTCAAAGATTACAAACAGCATCTTCTGACCTTACTCAGCTATCCAAGGTATGTATTGCAAGTAGTATTCCTTTAAGACATCAAAGAGTTATATTTGTTAATAAACTGTGAAGAATTATAATTTAAATTTTATTTCATACCATTACACAGTAGAACAGAGACAGAATGAGTTTGTGTTTCAAACTGAATAATAGTTGTGAGGGAACCTAAGCTTACAAGCCCCGTGGTTTTTTATTAGGTTCCCTTGCCATTTTGTTTTCTACCTTTAACATATTATATTGTAGTTTTGTATTTTCATTGTTATCTTGTATATTGATTTGTTTTATTTATTAATCATTGTATTATAATTCTATTTTTGTTTGTGTGGCAAAAAATAAAATAAAATAATAGTTCTTAGTGAAATTAAAGAAAATAGATCTGTAAAGTGTTAATAATATATAATAATAATATTAATATTAATAATAATAACTTTATTAAAGTGTCAATTGATTTCCTTTTGCTTTGAGTTTCTTGACCAAAATTATCTATCACAACCACCAAAATATCTCGCTTGTTTCATGTGCATGTATCTTGCAAACACACATCACCTCTATTATTATGATCACATAGAAAGTCAGTCAGGCCCTCTAAGTTAGTAAATCCATTTTTGACCTACAACTATTTAATACACGTATTTCCAACCTTCTGTTTCTTTTCAGTCCTTTCCAGAAATTCATAGTAAAGCTGATCGTTTGCGGCAAGCTGTTCAATCCCATGAGGCCATGCAAGAGTGCAAGACTGATGGCGTTTTGTTTGAAACAGACAATAACAACAAGAGTTTGAACTTGTCGTCTTCTGAACCTCAAGTATCACATGAGGACCAGACATCTGAAAGTTTACAATTAGTGGATTTTATGTGGTGGGGAAGAGAAAAACGGAAATCACACCCTCCTGTGAGATTTGATGCTGTTCAAAATACTTAACTCACTCCTCTGACAGCTGGGTTTTAATTTATTAGTAATGTTATTAGAGCAGTTATCAGTTGAGTGTTGTGAAACCAAAACCAAAGTAATCACTCTTCTCAGTCTGGTCAATCACACAGGACACAGACAATCCAGTGAACCAGACAAAACTCGAAATAAATACATGTAGCTCATAAGAAGCGTGGGAAAATGTATGTCAGTGTGGGTGGGTCACAATTGGTTCTAGTTTTCCTATTTGGATGAAAAAGTGGTGCAAGGTTTTTTTAAACCAATCATTCAGCTTTGTTATGCAAATCAAATAAATGTTTGACACTCGAGTGAAAACTGCTCTATGGAATTGGTTATTTCACAATGAGTGTGAAAAATAGAATTACGATCTGTGAGCTGTTTTAGAAGCTACTTAGATTAAGAGTCCTACCTCAAGGATAAAGCAAACAATGAAATATGCAGAAGGAAGTTCAGGAGAGAAAACTTAAATTTTGTTAAAAGCTGTTTATTTTTGCTAAGTATCCAATACCAGTCAAAGTGTGCATTATTTTGCACTTAACATTTTTTTTATTTGTTTTGTACTTAACTAAGCAAAGAATTTTTAACATCATTAGATAAAGTAGGTGAAGAGTTGTTAATATTAATGTAGGCTGCCGTAACCATCAGATGTTGGGTGAAGATTTAAAAAAAGATCACAGAACAAAGGCCATCTGAGGATAAAATGAGGCACTGGGGCCATGGTTTTTTGTTACTTATTTTTTTTATGGACATGTTGTATCATCATGATGGTGTGACAGTTTTGGAGTAGTCAAATAATGTTGTAATTTTTTAATAAGAATTGGACAATTTAATTTCTCCAGCTAAGGTTAGCCAGAAATGGCATTTTCTAGACTGTGATATGAATAAGTGAGTTTGATGGATGAAAGCAAGTGAGGTCTTTTAAATTTCAATGTATTCAATTGTTCCAGTAGCAATCAAAATTAACTGTATTGATTATTCCATATTGAAATTTTTAAGCAGATCTGTTTGTCAACTCTAAACTAATTTATTATATCAAGCAAATGTAAGGAGGCACTTGTACCCTCTGCAGACCTTTATTTTCTCCCCTTATGTAATTCTTAAACATCCCAAATAACTTTCAATACTCCAAATCCGGCAATTCCTCTTTTTATCCGATCACCTTTTTCTAGTTAATCTTCGCTAATCCTATTCATCCATGAGCTGGCTTACAGGATACTTTGATTTCCAATGTGGCGTGAGATGAATGTGGGTGTTAGCTCTTTTGACAACTTTTAACACTCATTGTAGATCAAAAACAGCTATAACTAAACTCTTAGTCTTGGACTTTTAAAGTCCGCTAACCACTCTAAGTTTGAATCATGCAAACCTTCAATATTAATTTCATTTCGTTTTGGAACTAAAGGTTTCAAAATTTGGGCAACACAGTGAAAACTTCTACTTTTTATGAGTAAAAAATTAATGCACTTTAAATTTTACCATGCAGTTTTAAGCTTCCTTAAGCTTCTTGTCTCAACTCTTCTGCTGATCTTCTTTGCCAACATATATTACTTAAACTACCTCATCAATAGTCATTGTTACTCTTGCTCACTGTGTATGAAGTTGTGGAATGGATGCCAGCAACCATATTGTAATCCCCTTTTTACCTTAGTAGTTCCTGTCTGGCTTCCTCCCAGGCGTTAGACTATGAGTAGTCCCTCTCTCGCTTAGGCTGTCAAGCGTGACGTGAAAGAAAACTGCGAGAAAAAAATGGCCATGTGAAATCCTGGGTGTGAGATGCTCGTCTCGCCACTAGGAGTTCGCAGGGCCAAATTTTTCTTGCAGCTTAGACTATGAAAAAAAGCGACAGGGACTACAAGCCTTCACAGTCAATTGATTTTGGTGCCATATCCGAAACGAATGGTCCAGAGTAGCCACATTTCTTCTTAGACCACGTGACCCGAGACGAATGACCGCGTGCAGTGAAATATCGAGGCTGTGAACTAGGCAAGTCCCAAGCTCCCTGTTTCCCACTCTGCAATGCCATTTTCCTGCCCAATAGACCAGGATTCATTTTTCATGGGCTATCTCTGCAATGGTGTCTTAATTGTTCCCTGCATCAGTTGTCAGTCTGGTCTGAAATCCCCATCAGGGGTGCCCAACAATGTTTTAAACAGGGAGGCTCCTCCCTATGAGCTTTTAACCCTTGCCCTTTTATATACCATTTTTGACAGAAAAAGAAACCTTTTCCCATACCTTCCGTAGAAAATGGTGACCCTCTCCCTCAAAAAGATTACAAAAAGGCAATGTTTTTCTAGACGAGAGAGGACTGGTAACTAGTAATTTGTTCAAGGCTATACTGCATGCA